GTTGATTGTGGATTCAAGGAAAATTAAATTGTTGATAACGTCAGTCTTTTCGTCACCTATCATGATATTGTTTATTGGTCCACTGGTGAGGATTTTTGTTTTCTTGATGTTGGGATGTGATCCATATTGAAAACTGTAGTCTTTGATCTTCTGCAGCAAGTGTTTCAAGTCCTCTTCACTTTCAGCAAGCAAGATTGTGTCATCTTCACGGCACAGATTATTGATAAAGCTTTCTCCAATCCTGATACCTTATTCTTTATAAAGCCTAGTTTCTGGAATGATTTGCACAGCATACAGATTGAATAGGTATGGAGAAAGGACACCGTGGCAAAAATATTAAATATACACAAGGCATTTGGTACAATTTGTTATTTCAGTAAGCTGGAAATAACCCAAATACTCCTCAGTGGGGGTATCAATATAGTGCAATAATAATGCACACAATTCAGTATGCTGTGTAGAAATAAGGGAAGATAACAATCTTTTATTGAGAGATGTTCAGGCTGTATTGTTAAAGATACCTTCCTGCTATCTAGTCAGAGACTGCCCATCATTCTTCCTTGGAGAGACTGGTGGATTCGAACTTCCAGAGAAGCATGACCTGTGGATGAGCAGAGCAACTCTGCAGGCTGTACCACTTGAGTTAATGATAAAAGCAAGGTGCAAAAAAGTGGTTTTTTCCCCCAAGAAAGGGAGTAGAATATTCTCAGATGTATATTTATTTATATTTTGAAAAAGAAATGTTGAAAGACTAAATAAAAACAAGGAAAAAGCTAGACTTTTCTCTGAATCTTTCCTTTTTTTTTTTAATAAAAAGCTTTAATGTAGGAAACCTGAAAAATTATTTACATGGTTATAAAATAAAAATGAAATCCAGATAATTTTTCATAACCAAAATGAGACAACTTTGTGACATCACCAGAAATTCATGACAAACCAATTTATAATTGTTTCAAGTGACTTTTAAAAACATGGTAAAATTTAGGGAGCTCTGGTGGCCTAGTAGCAAGAAGCTGCACTGCAATCCCAGAGGTACACGATTTAAATCCACCAGGTTCTCTGCTGGAGAAGGAGGGGCAATCTCCTCTTGTACCAGTCAGACCCAATTTGATGGTACACACATAAAAAAACAATAAAATAAAATAAAATATTTTAAAAAAACAACAAAACCAAAATGTGGTAATATTTGACAGATCACATCCATTAGGATGTACCATAAGAACAAAATATGGTAAATATTTTTTAAATGGCAAATCTTAATTTTCACTTCAGTAAATCTATTGTTAGTAATAGTATTAGTAATAATCTTTTTTTAAATTTTTAACATTTTTATTATATGTACCATTAAATCAGATATGACTGGTATGTTGTTGTTGTTGTTATGTGCCGTCGAGTCGCCTGCGACTCATAGCAACCCTGTGTACAGCAGCCCTAAACTCCGCTCTGTCCTGTGCCAATCGCAGTGTCTCTGACACTCCCATCCCAATTACCCCAGTCACTGAATCAATCCACCTCATAGAGGGCCTTCCTCTCCTGTGCCGTCCCTCCACCCTCCCAAGCATGATGTCCCTCTCTAAGGACCGGTCTCTCCTCACAACATGGCCAAAGTAAGC